TATTTAACAAATAACAACAAGCAAAAAATATTCACAAAACTCAACAAGGAGGATCATTCGGAATGTATTGCAATACAAAAAGCTTATCACGAAAGAGCACAAAGTGATCAATTGGTCATTGAAAAATATCAGGAAGTCATCAAATCTTTGGTGTCTCAACAATGTAAGGTAATTGATTAACACAATTAAAAGTTTAATAAAAAATAATTTTGTTTGGTGTCGATTTGAAAATGAAATGGTTACTAATTATTATTTTAGCCCGAAGTTCCTTCGAACAAGTTGAAAAAATTACAAGCTTCGTACGAGAGTAAAATCTCGGATTTAAATTTAAATCTTAAAAGCAAACAATACGAAAATGAAAGTTTAAAAAAAAAAATCGACGAATTAAACGATAGCCTCGCGAAATTAAAAATTCTTCAAAGTGAGAACGAAGTCCTTAAAGAAAAGTAAAATTTTTTTAAAAAAAAAAAAAAAAAAAAAAAAAACTTTCTATAATTGATTGATTATTATTATTATTATTATTATTTTATTCGTTTTGATTTCTTTTGAGAATCATCAAAAATAATTTATTTGTATTTTTTATCGTAATTTAATTTGGTTTTTTTTTTTTTTTTTTTTTTATTACAGAGTGAATAATTTATCGACAGTTAAAAATACTCTCGAAGAAAAATTAAAAGATTGCGAAGAAGAGAAAAATTTAATTTTTGAAGATTTGAGTAGCAGATTAAACGAATCGGAAAAAAAATTAAAAGAAAATGAAAAACGTTTCAAATCGTTGGAAAGACGCTACGAAGAAAATTATAATAATCGCGAATCTGAGGTAAATTTTACCCTCCCCCCCCCCGTGTTTTAAATGTCTCCGAAAGGGAGAATAATCAAAATCATTTGTTGAACAAAAGAAAAAAAAAAAAAAAAAAATTTATTATGATTTTTTTTGGCAGCTCAAAGCAGAAAAAACGGAGATAGAAAAAAAATACACGGCTGATATTATTGCAATAGAAAAATTACTTGAAGAAAAAAATTCTGAAATATCCGTTTTAAAAGAAGAAATGTTAAATTTAAATGCTCATTTCGAAGAAGAAATTTCTAGGATAAAACATGATTTTTCCGATAATTTTAATATTAGCAAAAATAAAGAAAAGGTTGGTCGAGTCGACTGACGGCTCTCTGTTTCGTACAGGGCAATTTTTTTGTTTTTTTTTTTTTTTTGTTAATAATCGTTAGAAAAAATTTAAATTTAAATTTTATTATTCAAGATAAAACTTTTAAAAAGCAAAACACGTAAATTGGAAAAAGTTAGAGAACGAATGGCAGTTTTATTTCATTCTCAAATGCAGCAAATAATAGCGAAAAAAGATTTTTACATAGCAACATTGGAAATGCAATTGAAAATGTTCACATCCGATCTTGAAACGAATCAATCGGGATCAGACGTTCATACAAAAATGTTGGAAAAAGTGTCCGCATTAGAGTCTCAATATCGCGAATTGTTAAAAGAATCGGAAAAACAATCGATTAAAAGGAGGCAAATGGATTTGCAGGTTTTTTTGGCTTTTCCAAAAAAAAAATTACTTTTTTCTAAAATTTCTATTTAATCGAATACTGATTTATTTTTTAGAAAATTCACAATTTAGAAAAAAGACTTTTATTATGTGGTGGTAGCATAGATGATTCTTACACATCTTTAAATTGTTCCAAAACAAAATCTCTCACTTCTGTAACTGCATTTGAAAGGAAAAGTAAATGAAATGACATCGAAGGATGGAAAAACGATAATTTTTTGATAAAATTTTATTGTAACATAAGTTTTAATTTTTTTAAGTACACTTATTTTTAAGGATATTTACTCATTGCATTTAACAAAAGGTAAAAGTGTATGTAAAATTTTTTATTTCAGATCAAAACGTATGTATGTATATATTTACCTTTTTAATAATATTTTTACTACTTTCAATATTTATCTACAAAACTATGTATTCATGTATTTTGTAATTAGCAATTACACTTTTTTTCCTTTTTTTTTTTAAATATCTACAAATTATTATTATTGTTTTTTCACTTATTTATTC